TATGGCCTTATTCTTCTGCAGCGGTTTAATTGGAATGTTTAACATTTCTTTCTTTATTATCTCTGCAGTGACTCGCCCCCTCCCTTAGCTGGAGGCCAGGCGAGTGGAGGGAGGGAGGGAGGTGGAGGGGTTGGGGGGGTGATTGAGGTTTTAAAGACTGTGTCCCAGTTGAATTGCAATTGCGGACGCTTTTAATTAGATAAAGCTTGGCTGCTTTGAACATATACTTTACAGCCGTGTCAGGCTAAAAGGGTCCATGTGTCGTAAATATCACTCCAGACATTAATAGAATTCAGATTACAGAGCAGAAATGTGTGGATCAGCGCTGGAAAAAAAAACCAGCAGCTGAGCTGTTTATAGCTCCTAAAACGGACGGTCCCATTAATATTAGGCCTAGCCTTTCTGGAAATGTAAATCACGGGGCTGGGGCTTGACATGCATGTTATGGAGCTGCAGTATGTCAGCGTTTACTGTTCAGTTTCTCTGATTTACAGCGGCTGTCCTGTCACAGCCCGACAGCTCACTTAATGTACACACAGCAGGTGTGTTTGGGTCCACGTAACAAACAGCTTTTTTTCTTTGCTAATCCTGAAAATGTCAACTCGACTTTAAAGTCTAAACAAACAACTTTCAGGAAAAGTTGGTACATTTAAAAAAAAACTATTGTATCACTAAAAGGCTGTGGATTAATCATGGTAAAAACTGATGTGGATGTGTTCAAATGCAGGGACATGTCCTTTATAGGTATAAAATATAAGATAATTCTTTACTTCATGTTTATGTCAGTGTCAGAAAAGGTCAAAAATGCTTGATGACTCACTGGAATTCAAATGTCTCAAAGTGAGAGTTGTCATTCATGTTTCAACTTTGTTGCCCTTGATGTTAATGTTATTTGTGGATCCAGACAAAGCTACACAGATAAATGCCGCAGCACGACAGAGAGAGAAAAGACCGGCTGCTGCCTCGACATACTCGTACACAAGGCCAAGGGCTGATCGATAAATTTAAAGTTTAAAAAATGTATCACATTTTGTCAAACACATCACATTCCAAATGTATCACTTCTCAAAATGGGACTGAACAAAATATATTTGCTAAATTCTGACCTTGTATCTCTGGCACTTTTGTGAGTGATTTCAGAGAACAGAAGTGATGGAGCTTCAGAAATATTTCTCAGAAAGTAGACGTAATCTGTTTCACATTCACAGTACACATTACATTGCTATTGAGTCTTCATGTATTAATGTGTTTGTAGTATCTTTAGCAGCGCTGTTGAATTCATACCTGTATTTGCTCCAATGAATGGCTAAGAACCAGTCCATTCACTGACTGGAAGGTCATGGTTCAATGTCTGGCTCCGCCTGTGGTCCACGTTGAGGTCTCCCTGAGAAAGACACTAAAACCAGACTCACTGATGGTGAAAGATTAAGTGACAAAAAACTGTTTTGAATTGAAATTCTATTTCTTAAAGGTATTTTCAAATTTTCCAGCATACTGATGGTGGTTCATAAAGCTCTCCCATGTAAAGGAGTGTAGTGACATTACAAAGCCTGACATGTCATATCCCATCATAAATAAAGTTAGCAGTAAACTAACATGGGGCTTCTGCTTTGAACATTTTACATATAATTTCAATGACTTTATGGTATATAATAGACTTTCATATCACAATTTTTTCTAACATTAAACACTGTTTAAATTAACTAAATATAGTACCAAGCAGTGGATCCTGAGAAACTCCAGTCTTCTTTGTAATGCCTGGTGTGAACTGTACTTACAGTTAGTTCAATTAGTCACCAGAGGTGCTCAGCAACCCTTTACAAACCATATGGCGTCCTTGAAATGCAATGGTCTCTGTGGGATTACAAAGGTTGATGGGTAATCCAGGGGACAATTTGAGTAAATTTACTTGGAATGCGTTCTGCGTGCAGTGGTACAGTGAGAAGTGAGATGAAGATTTGATTTTGTCCACTACTGAATCTGCAGGTGATAATAATAATAAATACAGAGAAAAAAAAAGAACAAACTATTAAGTCAGAGGCACAAACGCTGTATTATTAAACATCTGTACAGTAAACCTGGAATAATGAAAGCTCCACTCAACAACTCAACGGCAGCACATTCATTCTCTGCAGTTCAATCACAAACAAGGGAATAAAAGTGAGAGATTACACACAGTACACGTAAACAGACCCCATCATAAGAAATAGTTAGGCCCTGAAAGTAACGTACAAAGTCAATGATTAGAATGTAGGGACATGAAACAAAGGGCAACCAGCTGGTGTGTGAGGCATTATGAAAATAAAGCGTTAATATGAATATTTCATGGAAGAACCTGTGTAACACTTGCCTACGTATGCCTTTTTTTGTCCTGACTGCCATGCATTATTCAACAAGAGCCTGTGACTCCTGATGGGGAATTATTCGTCACGTTTCAGCACAATGAGATTAAATCCACAGATAAATATATGCTATAATTACTTGTAAATAAGTTAAATCCTGAAGGATGAGGGAGTCGATTTCCACAAAAACACCAATCGCGTGCTGATTAAATCTTTGCAGATGAGAAAGAAAAACTGCAGAATATAAAATATCTGTACGTACTGAGCAGGAAAAACTATAGTATATTAATGATTATTATGTATGCACAGAGCAGATGCTGCATTATAAAAGGAATAAAGCAGAGATAAAGAGCTGGGAGCAATTTTGCAAAAACACAAACGTTCCATCCGTCTGACGCTTAATAAATCTCAGGAGGAAGGATGCTGCTAATTATCATTCCACAACACTGATGTTTATGGCTTTTTGATTCACCACATTCATATCTCTAAACAAGGTATTTTTTTAGTTTGCCATATTAATTTACTGGCATTGTAACTGTAATGATTTGCTGGATCGATGTTGCCATAAAATGTTTTAACAAATTATTTCTCAGATAAGATCAGATCAGTTGCACAGAGACACAGCTATTATTACTATTAAACTCAAAAGTGTTTGTTTTTTTGTCTTTTAAGTACAGGTAGACTGACTTTTATTTAGCTACCAACCTACAAAAACAAAAAAAATATTGAAACAAAATCAACATTAATATAGTATATATATGTATGTGTATATATATATATAATATATTACATTAACAGTAATTCTATGTATGAAAAATAAACATTTTAAAATAGAATTGAATTCTCAATAATTATTACATCAAATGATAAATGCCAATAAAAACATGACAATAATCTGAAATAATAAATAAAATAATTTATATGAGAAAAAGAAGTAGAATAAATGCCTCCAACACGTGCCAAAAGTATAAAAACCTCTTTTGGAATTCAGTGACAGACTCACAAAGAAATATATGATGTTGTTCAAGTGTTTTTACTGTTTACTGTTTTTGAGGAAAATTCTGGAAGACATGTAAACACCACTGCAGAAATGTATACAGGTAAACAACCATTTGACCCATGGCGGTATGTGCTAGAAATTAAGGTTTTATAGTGAGGAAACCATACATAACCAAGACCCAAACACCAGACTGTGTTCAATGACTTTTATCAACAAAATAAAGTAGCATCCTTTGGTGACACCCGTGCTTCCCAGTAAAAACTAAATAAAATAAATCTTAAAATGCCTATGTTCCAGTAAGCAGCCCTTACCAGTAGGAGTCTCCTCTATCTTTCACGTCTTCTAAAAAAAAAAAAAAAAAAAAACTCATTATAATTATATTTACTGTAAATACAAAGTTTAAACAGTGTAAGTTAATTTGGCAGATAATTATGTCATTGATAATATAATATAACAAACTTATAAATTGTAAATTAAGTAAATTGTACTGCGGTTAAATGTACTCGCATTTTTGGTTTATGTTTTTTTTTACTTTTTTTATTATTTTTCACATTTGCTATTATTCATAACGAAAAACAATCAAAATATCAAAAATTAAACTTTGTATTGTTCTGTTCAGTTTTCCAGCAAGAAAATGTAAAAAAATAAACTATGCCCTTTTTTATTCAAGTATTTACTATTAGACTGCCACAAAAAACAATTCTGAAATTTAAAAAAATAGATCCAGTCGTGACACAATTTAATGTGACCGTGTTATTATAGTAAAAAATAAATACATTTACACAAAATAGTTGAATATATGTCATCTGCAAAAATAGCAACTTTGTTTCCTATACGTTTGTGTATTTTCAATACAACTCTTCTCCCTATGACAGTTAAGACTACTTTAAATAAACCCATTTTGACAGCTGCAACATCATATAGCAGTTTCTTTTAAACTTAAGTGCTACCAGGGTGAAATGTAAATCAAAATAATCAGATCTTCTCAGAAACTTTACAAAATATTTTTTGGAGACACTGCAGCTTCAAGCTAGCTGTGGAGAATTTCTGTGTCTGAAGTTTGACAGCTGGATAGCACTCTCTCTCCCTCTCTCTCTCTCTCTCTCTCTCACTCGGTCTGACTTTCATTCTGCTCTCAGAGTGCTTTATAAATCACATTTTGTAGTGCTCAGGTCAGCTTTATGTCCAGCTGAGATCTGCACCGCCTCCAAAGTCTCCTGCACCTGCCTCTCATATCCACCTGTGCATCAGAACTGCTTTATACTGTAGGTCCGAGTTGAAAAGCAGCCTTCAGGTCTACAACCCGCTTCGCATGAAAAGAACTCAGCTTTGTTCCATGTGCATTCTCTGGTGGTGTGTTTTTTTTTTTCCCTCCAAGTTTGTTAGGTCTCCACGAGACCCGTCAGCTTTTCTTTCTCTTGCCTACTTCTCCTCCCTTCACTCACTGCTCTGGGCGCTGCGGCCCGTCTTACTCAGCACCAAGTTCAGTTCGTTCATCAGATTGGGGGGCATCACTCCCTCTGCACCTGGAACTATTTTTTTGGGGACAGTTTTCCGAACGTTCTTCGAAGAACAGGCCAAACCCATGAGCTGAGGGTTTCTGGACGGGGATGGAGAAGGACGCCGTAGAGGAGGACCCAGATCGACACAGAGTCGGTTCTGTGGATTATCCACCATCTTCAGTCTGGGGAAAGTGGCAGTGGTGTTTTTGTGTAGGACGACATCTTTGTTAGTGGCCTGGTTCGGCCAAGACGGAGAGATCCTGAGGTCAGGCAACTGGAATGTGGTAAAATATTTTAAAACAAACAAAGCAAGAGATAAAGGCCATTATTACTTTTTCCCATAATAATCACACCCTCAACACTGAATTTGAATGGTTTTTTCCATAGAACTTAGCCCTGTAAACAAAACAAAAAAAATAGTCTTCTCACCTTTTTTTCAAAACTCTTGTTGAATGTGGCAATCTTGCCACCTTCAGTCACAGCGCCTCCTCTGGAGGACTTGTCAATTGGAGCCTCTTTTGAGTTATCAGGCTTTAAACAAAGGTCAGAGCCGTACTGAAGACACAGCCAACAATAGAGAGCAGTAGTAGGTTAATAGAAGGTTACTGACTTTACACTGATGTGCTGTGGTGATGCATCACAACGACTTATCTACAGGAGCTTAAAAGCTTTTTGACAACTTCACAATTAGCTTGTGTTTGCTACTAAGAAAGATGTGTTTAATACATAACCAACATAAACCATCATACTGTCCAGTCATAACAGGTTGATAAACATTAGCAGAAACTCCAAGAAGGAAATGCTGTTGACATTTTCCCAAAACATGCTAGCAAAACAGTCTGAACAAAAAAATTTAACTTGATCATATTTAAGAACTTATGTTAAAGTAAGCCAAAGGAGGTAAGCTGAAAAGGTAACAAAAAGAAAAGGAATAAACAACCAAGGGTTAGCATGTATCGTTAGCCAGGAAGACAGCAGGAGGCTGTTGCAGGAATAGCACTTTTAGCCTTGGACCAGGAGTGGTGTATGTGTATGTAGTAGTATGTAGCAGTATACATAGTATCTATACAATTTCATCCCACTGCAACATCCTGACCAAGGTCTTGTCTTATTGTAGTTTTCCAAACTTTCATCTCGACATCTCCTGGAATATCACATGACCCCAGGAGACGACCTTTATTCCATCACTGCTCTGACCCATCCTTCACACCACCCTGCGCCGTCTTCACCACCAACATCTACGCCACTAAACAGTCCACCTTGTTTTCAAAATAAGCTCCTCTGTCTCTCGTTGCTATGGAAACTGCCTGAACAGGATGCTCACTAACAGGTGAGGGGAAGGACATGAAGAAGACTGAAGTGCTTTCGCTCTACTTTCAAAACCACCTCTTCTCTTCCCGGCTCTTTTGGCACTTCCTGCAAGCCCTGGTCTTGGAAGCTGACAATCCTGATATTTAGCGGATTTAGAAGGAGAATCCTGACGTTATTAGCTCTAGCTCCAGTCTGCTATAGATTTAGCTCAGGCAGAGCTGAGGCAAAGCTTTTCAGCAAGGGGCAGAAAAAAAGTCAGTCAACCCACTGAAATAAACAGTGAAAGTGCAGACAGAAAATGGCTTCCTTCTTTTGGATCAAACTGCTCTCCGACAATGAAGCCAACTTTTTTCTCACTTGCTGAACCAAAGACGGGCACTAAAATGGTTCTACAGCGAGCACCTGTGATAAACCACACACAGCTACAGGACGGTTTCCCATAAAGGCAGTCAAAGCCAAGGGGCTAATGCTGGAGAAATGTGCTGAGCATACAATACAGAGCAGAGCGGAAAATCTTTGTTTGATCCTTTTTTTACCTGGGATGAGCGAGCGTGGCGTTCCTGCCCGCAGCCACTGACTCGGAAATGAGCGGAAAAACAGACACATGCTTTCAAGCTAATGAGTAAACAAGATGCTTTTGACAGAAGAGAGGCGGCAACGGAGCACAACGTGTGGAAATAATGCAAATATTTTTGGATGTTTTTGCAGCGTAAGCAGCAACTTACAGCTGCAGCTGCAGTCTAAGTGCCAGGATGTGATTGTTACAGTTTCATCAACTTTTATCAACTTTTTATTCCAACAAACTTTTTCCAATAGACACATTTATTTATTACTTAGTGACCTCAAAAAGATATTTTCCTGTTTATTCACTTGAGCTGCTTAAAAAAAGGATAGAATTAGGATTTGAGGATCCTGTTTTTAAAAGTGGTAAAAGAGGGTTTAATTACACCTACTTTTCCACACAAACAAGGGCAGGAAATGTTTCTGCAAAGCATGTTATTTTGTTTATTTATATAACAACAGGAAAAAGAGGCTAGGGAAAATAGGAGAAATAAAAAAGTTTCCATGCCCTTGATTTAACTCCAGCTCATTGAAACTACTTCATCAAGCTGCTGCGTGAGTGAAAACCCCGACTCTGCTGCTCCATAATCTTACCTTCATTTTGATTATGTCCGTCACCCAGCTGACCTGAGCCTCCCTCTTCTCGCTGCAGAAAAGCCTGAGGGGGAGGGAATGAGGGGATGGTTGGCCACACATGACTCTCACATTTTCAAACCGTGTGACATTCGCACTTGTTTTTAACAGTTGACTGGATTCCATGAGTTGTATTAGGTGACAGAAGAGTGTAGTGGTGGAGACTGACTTAAAACTAGTAATTAAACTGAAATTACACGATGGTGCAGAAGAATGTGGAGTGACGGTTTCAATATGAGCCGTCGTCTTTTCAGTTCTGGACAGGACAGTGCAGATGTTACTGTGCCTCAGAAACTACAACTGTACTGAATGGACGGACTGATCCAAACTGTTTCACAGTTGAACAGAGTTCACTTTTAACATTGACATCAGATTTCATTTTTCATATTATTTTCTTGATGAGCCATGGGTCAAAGTTTCCTTCATCAGGGTAAATAAAAGTGATTATTTAAAATAAATAAAATGCATTATATTTAAGTCTTATGAATACTACTGTTAAAACTGATAACTAATTAGTCAAATCCCATTAACTGAGTTTGTACACAATTTTTAATGTGCATGTATTATCATATATAAATTGTCCACCTTTGGAAAAAATAAGAATAAAGTTAATTAAAATTAAAAAACCAAAAATATTATATTTTCTGGTGTGATGACAAAGATTACTCACACACATCAGGACTAAAAAAAACAACAGTTACCTGGAGTTTTATTTCAATAACAACTGTTAACGACTGTGTATCTCTACACTTGTCAACTGGTCAGTAATTGTCAAATGTATCTAGTAATCTGTAATTTTTCCAATACTTTTCCTTCTTCCTGTTACTTTATATTGCCATCTGACACTGTATCGTTTTTGTATTTTTACAGAATAGCAAAGATCTGCTGTGCTGACACCAGGCTTTGAATTTGACTCTGTGAACTTCTTTGATCGGTTTCACATCTTATGGTGCACTCACACAAGGCCACAGCTTCTGCAGTCATGCGGCGCCAGTTACATTCACGCGGTACAACTTGGGCGTGATACACAGCCATAGTGTAAGTCCACCCTAAGTTTAAAAGTGGCGATGCAACAGGAGAACACTCACCACTGTTGTTTTTCTGAGTAGACTGTGAAACCAAAGCTGTGGAGAAAAAAGACACAAAAGAGGTTGTTAAACCTGGGCCTCACTTAAAAGAAAAAAAGAAAAAGATTCTTTATTTACAGACAGATGTTGTTAACATTTTTTGTCAAACGCTGCAGCAGAATTTTTAACTCAACTCAACAACTCAGTGAGGACAACAGTAGATCAACAGCTTTTTAATTAAAATGAAACCGAGAAAAAAGTCATGACAAAGGCTACATAGTAAACAGTCAAATTAATTAGCCTAAATTATTCAGCGCAGCTCCAGCCCAGGTATTAAAGAGGTGCTTAGTTTACTTCGCTCTAGGCTACAAATACACTGAGTGTACTGCAGTGTTGTTCTAGTATGTACCATCAAAGGTGCAGTGTGGAGTTTTTTTTACTGCATCGCTGTCACATTGATGTGTACAACAAAGATAATGGCAATGATTCCAGAACACTTAGTGTGACCACAGAGATGATCAGGTGTACAGTGGAAATGTTCTAATAGGTCAGAAAGTGAATGTGAACTATTGTCAAAGCACACAATGAAATTTTCCTTTAACCCATCACGTTAGTGGGCAGGAGAAGCTCCAGCTCAGCACCCACAGGCAGTGTGTTGGCACGGTGCCATGCTCAGTCCACCTCAGTGGCTGATGGATTCAAACTTGTGACTTTCCAGGCACAAGTCCACTTCCTTAACCACCAGGCTGCCCATTACCATGAAAACAAAGTCATTGCAAAACCTTTGTTGATTAACTGCAAAAAAAAAAAAAAAATTTCTTTGACAGTGACAGGCAGAATAATGAGATTCTTTGCTTGGATTTACACTCTTTGGTGCTGTAGACTATGTGACTGTGTAGAATACTACGCAGCTAACATGTCAATGTTGACAACACTAACTGTCCAACTACAACATTTTAATCACAGGATGAATTTAACTAACAACACCTCAACCAACAGTGATGGAGTTTTGTTCAACTTAGATGTGTATGAACAAGCACACACTTGTGCCAATTAACCTGCATGAGGCCCTTGAAGGTGAAACAGCCGTAGCTGCACCAGAGGAGCCGCTGAAGGGCCAAGATGGAGAGGAAGAAGCCCGAAGCCCCTGCTCCTGTGAGCAAAGGCTGCTGATCTGACCCAGCAAAAGACCTCGCTCACTGATCGTCCTCCGCCTAATGAGGTACTGGAGCTTGGCCTCTCCTCACCCTCTCACTGTGACTCTCCCTCCTTCAGCACAAGGTCTTACTGCAGTGCGACTTCTCCCACAGCTCACTTTACAGTACATCTATGATACCATGCTGTATTATCCCTTCACTCTGCCCCCAATTTTTTTCTCCTTCTTCTTATTTTTCTCCTCTCTTATCTACTTTTCTCCCCTCAAGGACTGTGTAATGCAGACAGTCACTTGCTGCGCTAATTTTTCACACTTTGCCAGACTTGAATTTTTTTCGACATGGGTAAAAATACAAGGTCTTGGTATTGTAATATAAGGTATTGTAATTGGATTATGGGTCTGCTCTCTCCCTGACACGTCCTCATGTTTGGCCAACAAGAAAGCCATGCAGATTTGGCATGTGTCAAGGATCACTAAAGACACTGATAATAGGGCTGGGTGAATACAATGAGTTGTATCCCCCCCCCCCAAAAAAAAATGTGGCAGAAAAGAAATTAGCAAAAAGAAAAGTGAGTCAAAATGACAGCAGCAGTGATAAATACTCCCCAGTTGTTTTTAATAAAACATTAGGCTTTATTTGTTATGGATGTGCAGCAGCTGTTTCAGAGCTAATTAGTCAAATATATGCTTTAATATGAAGCCAAAACCAAGTTTTGTACTGGAAACAGCACAAGGAGATTTTTTTGTTCTAATGGAACAATAATTGCTCCACAAATACACAACAAGAGGGTGGAAATCATATCAAATACCCACAAAAAACAGAGCCTAATTGTTTAATGATTGTTGTGAAAGGGATTTGTCTGGTTTAATTAGACACAGAGTCTTGTGCTGTGGAACCGCATGGATTTCCTCAGCTTGGTGAGGTCAGATGATGAAAACTTATCCTCATTGACTTCACATATTTGCAGACCACAAATGTAAAAATCTATACTGTGGGTGAACAAATACATTTTTTGTGAATGTGAATAACCTTTTGTTGCTTTAATGTGCAAACCTCATTTCTAGAAATTTCTAGAAGTTTTTTTTTCACCTTGTTAGGATGATGAATGTTGAATGATCTCTGTGATATCTAATTAGTTTAGAACGTGAGGTCAATAATGGGTTCTATTTTGGAGCAAATTCTGCAAAAGAATAATTTTTAACCTGGCCCTCCATCGGGAGTAAGATTTATCAGTAAAAAGAGACTTTAATTATAATGTGTGAATGAGTTTACCTGGTTGGAGGTTTAAACTTTTTCCTCATGCCGAGGAAACATTTCACAGACTTGAACAGGATTACTTTCTCAGCTTTGGCACTCTGCAAAAACCAAAAAATAAATAAAAAATACATTTTTGGAAAGTTATTCCAAACAATGATCAATAGTATGGTTACTATTGAATGCAATCGATTTAAATCACTCCTCTTCAGGGAGAGAGAAAAGCAAACATATTCAGTGTTTCTGCGACGCCTACGCATCACACCTCAATACTGTGTAATTTTCTCTACATAATTTGCACTAATAATAGAGGTAGTAATAACCGCACTTTCTTCTAAAGCATAGCAATTGTGCAGTAAAACATGTATATTTGTCATGCCGTAAATATGCATTTTCTTGTGGAATATGATGTTTAAAAAAAAAAAAGGATTTTCCTGAATGTTTTCCTCTCAAATCACTGCGCTTCAATAATAATAATAATAATATTAATGGCTACATTTTAGAAAATGTTTGAAGAGGTGTGTTTTTCTTGAGTGTATTTTTTGCTTATTCAACCATAGATGATATTGGACGAACACCAAATAGCACTGTTTTATATTTTGGCCACACCACCTTAAAATACAAAAACAAACATCACTTAAAACTGACATTCTCACCCAATAGTTGAAAAATTTGTGGCACATATAAAAATTTTTAGAATGAACTCTGTGTCCCTAAAAGGGGGACTAACCCGCATTTTGAGAACCACTGACATACAGGGCTATAACCAGACCGAATCAGATTTATTGGCTGTGTTTGCTGCACTTTTTTTTTTTTCAAAGCAGGTCAATAACCCTTCTTAATCCCTTGGTGGTACAAAACAGACTTGGCTCAGCAGGTACTTTTTGTTTTCAGGCATAAACCTATCAAGACAAGTGTTTACCATAGTGGCAGGAAAAAAAACTACCTACTTTGATATCTCTGTAAAGCAGCAGCTTCTCTGCATGCAGCACTACATATTTGTCTTGGAATTTGTGCCCCGACAGCAGTTTGGAGGAGCCGTCGCTGAACTTCAGATACTCGCCTCGGATAAGCTGTTTTTGGTCTCCTGTGAAAACACATCGAAATGTTAAGCCAAAAAGTGAACATTAGCAGCTGGTGGAAGAAAAATACCTAAAAACAAACAAACTTTTTTTTTTCCTGTCAATATTTGTAATCTGCATTATTGCTGAATAATAATTTGGTGGCTGAATAATTTGGACCTGGTCCAAATTAAATAGAAGAGAAAGAGAAGAACTGTGGTCACTTTTTCAAATGTAAGACTTTTAATGTAAAGTGTACGACTTGGACATCCTCTGGACTCATATTAAAAGAACATTTGGTAACATCTACAAAAAAAAAATCAAGATAAGTCCTTTGTTGTTATTCAGTTTTAACACATGGGCAGAACAACGTGAACTCAAGAATGCATTGTTCCACTCTCCCTCCACTTATTGTTTCTGTAATACAGAGTCAACACACGTGTTGCCATTTACACAAGCTAAATCGCTTAAGTGTTTTTTTTCCCCCTCAACTTCTGGATTGCAGACCACCAGTCGCCAAGGCAGCCTGGCAGTTGGACCTATTGAGCCAGGATAAGGGAATTCCCGAGGAATTACTAAAGTCCGTCCGTCCGTCCATCCATCCATCCATCCATCCATCCGTCCGTCCATCCATCCACCTATCCATCTATCTATCCATCCATCCATCCATCCATCTATGTATCTATCATCTATCTATTATCCATCCATCATCTATCTATCTATCCATCCATCCATCTATCTATCATCCATCCATCCATCTATCCATCTATCTGGAACTCCAAAAGGAGGCATGGGACATTTTAGCTTGTCTAAGCCGGGAGACAAGTCCCTCTTGTTTCCAAGGTTTGGACAGGATAAAAGACTTCATTAGACCATTAATGTCATTTTAAATTATAAAAAGGCTTGTTTTCATATTTGATACTTTTCCATATTTCAGAGGTTAACTGGGGTCAGTGAGTGTTTACCTTTCTTGTTAGTCATTCTTTTAGCTTCTGCGAACTTCCTAATTACAAGAAAAGCAGAACTGGGAAAATCCAAGGCGCTCCACTCCAACACCTGCTCAAGAATCTTCTCACTGTGATGCAACGGTCTCTCTGTGGGGAATCAGAGATAACAATACTTACAGTATATATGACTTTAAAAATGATCTAGAAGCAAATAACTAAACAGAAAAAAGTCAGGAGATTCGTCCAGGCCTCCGTCTTCTAATTATTTGTTCATTTTTAGCTTCAATCAAACAGAGAAACGTCCTCTTATGATAAAATCTATGACTAATTACTTTAACCCAACAACTAGATTGTGTTGTTGTTCTGCTCCCCGTGCCCCCTTTTCATTAACAGACGGTTTAATTTATCTGCAACATATCAGGAGGCGATTATAAAAGCACACTCATGTGCAAAATAGACCTATTATCTCTTGCTAATTGGTAAACAGGTTTTATGCTATCAGCCAAAATAAAAAAAGTGGATAATTTGTACACAATTATTTCATAACCAAGGGAGGTGACAGGGAAAAATAAAATGGTATAAGTTATTCATAACATTGGGCTTATCTTCCCAGTGAAATCTCCACCGACCACGGCCATGGAATTAGTTCTTCATTTTCCAACAAATATTGGCTCAGTTTTCTGCCAATTGTCTTCGATAACAGTGTTTATCTGCAGCTATCCTCTCAAAAATAGCTCATTAATGTTCCTCTCCCTGCCTCCTTTATGTTTTCATGAGTAAAACTGTTATGGTACTGCCTAGACGTAAAAACAGCCAGTGTGTTTATCCACAGACGCATTGTGTCGGCGTGGAAAATATGCTTATCCGAGAGCAAATGTGTTCAGTATTCATCACACCTTGGCTTTTTAGAGGAAGAACGCAGTGCCCTCTGTAATGCGTGCAAGGAGGAAAAACAAGCACAGGCGTGCGGGGTAAACTCTCAGTGAACTGATGAAATTTCACATACAGCAGCCGTCAGCGGAAGCAACTTTCGCGACAGCACTCAACTTTGACTCCCGACTCGAGTAGCTGCTCGCTGATCAAATGTGTTGCACAGCAGTCAGAGACACGAGGTGCCATCAGTGCATATTAATGCCAGACGAGTGCAGGTCAGCTCCCCGGTCCAATCATGCAAGAAGGATTAAGGTAATTTATGACCAATGTTGGTAAAGGTGATTAATTAATGTGCATATTATCAAAGTGACAGCGCCCGTGCTAATTTTACACCGTATTTGCATGTTCACAGCCACGACATCTGCAGAGGAAGTGAGGGAGAGAATATTATTCCAAACATGAAGTCCCTGCCACAAGAGAAAGTTCTGTATTTGCATATGCAGCGCAGTAATGAGAGGAGAAGTCGCGGTTGAAAATCAGGTTGTTTCCTAGATAAGGGATTTTAATAAAAGGACTAATAAGACACTGGACAATCAGCAAAAAATTAAAAAAGAAGGATTAACTGAGCTAATGTTACAAGTTAAAGCATTTGCTAGAGTGCATCGCCCCCTAAACATAAACAAAATTCCACTGCTGCTTTAGAACATGAAGCAGTTTACTAGGAAACAGCGAACTTAGTATATATATACACATATGTAAAAATATATAAATATATGTATATATATCTGTGTGTGTGTATAACAAGCCATGCAATGGATCATGTGTGTTGTAAGGGTTAATGTTAGGAATAACAGATATTTGTAACGTTTGGACAGATTTCTCTCAAAAAGCCAAAGGTCTAAAGTCTGAAGTAAATACCAGTGTAAATATCGACAAAAAGAAGATCAGAGAAAAGAAAAAAAATTCCAATATTTGCTGCAGAATGTTTCTTATTATTCCCTCCAATCTTGTTCATCACGTGCGTCTGGGAAAGAATTGCTCTTACCCAACTCTCCGTTCTCAATCACTTCAAAGGTGGTCCAGCAGTCACTGGCAGTAAAGGTCACATTCCTGGTTCTTAAGGCAGTTTCCACGAGCTCAGACGATCGCATGCTGGGAGAAATCTAGCAGAAACACCACAAAGAGATGAAGGAAATACAGACAATCAAACCTCTTGAATGCAAAAGCTCAGATCGTAAGCTGGGTGGGTCGATACCGCTGCCTTCAACATCTCTTTTTTTGAGGAGCCCAGTCAATATGTAGTGTTTAATCGCACAGATATTTGACTCACAGCCAAGCACACGGTGCTCTGATTAAATACTTGCTTCTTTGACAAGTTAGCAGCTGTTCCTGAGCAGGACTGAACTCAGCAAATGTTCTCCCCAATACCACTGAGAGAAGGTAAAATATTAGAGTCCGACTGATCTGCAGAGCAATCCTATAACCCCACACTTATTGCACCGCCACCGTGAGAGTATCCATTACCTACAGTGACCTGCGTGCCTCATAAATTGTGAATACTGACACAGTTAAACCAGACATTTCTTTGATTAGTTTTGCGTTTTAATTTGTTTTCTGCCCTGATAACCCCCCTCAGGTTAAACCACCAATGTTTTCACCCTAGTCTATTAACTTCT